CAGGAAAGGTCACTCATTCCAGGGACCTACTTAACTTGGATGGTCACCCAGTAGGAGCTCACATAGTATGAGTAAGAAACTGGCCTTCTCTTTGAGTTGGCTTGGTTGGACTCTTTCCTGTTTATGGGTAAGTCTTCTGAAATCAGAACCAGTTTTGTAAAACAAACCACATTGAATAATTTGTCCTGAGGCCTAGAGACATAGTTTCTGTCTGTAGTCTTTTGGTGTAATGGTAGAAACCATTATAAAACATTATTGTCTTTTTTTAAAAAACTGTCCTTGGGAGCAAGCATTCAGAAGAGACAGAGAATGGGTTGGTCAGTGTCTCTTTTCTCATAGGACAGATGGCACCAGCCAGTGCTGCAGCGGTCAGCATTCTGCTTTGCAGGGCAACTGCCAAAACAGTCACAGACAGGGGAAATGGCTTGGGAATTTTGAATTGAAAAATAAAGCATGCAAAAAAACGAACCTGAGAATTTTTGTAATTTTTACAGTAAATAAGAGAGTTACTCTGAGTATTTTTGTCTTCATTTCCACAGTCTCTTTGGAAATTAAAGACCATGATCCCTTTCATCATTCCTAACAGTTTGATGAGTCTTGCCCTAGAGCTGTGGTTCTCAACTGTGAGTTGTGACCCCTCTGCGGGGCCCATACATTTTTCACAGGAACCTAAAACCATCAGAAAACATAGATGTTTACAGTATGATTCATAACAGTAGCAAAATTTCAGTTATGAAACAGCAACAAAAAAACTTTATGGTTGAGGGGTTCACCACAACATGATGAATTGTGTGAAAGGGTTGGAGCATTAGGAAGGTTCAGAACCACTACCCTAGGGTGAAGTTCCCATCCACATCTCATATCGCCAACCCAGGCCTTAATGTATGTAACAACCCCCAATTTATGAGCAAGAGCCTGAAAAATAACTGATGACAACTTTGGCAGACCTTATTTAGATTTTTCTTTTTCCTTTTTATTCTTCTTAAAATTGAAATTCCAAGATTTTATTTTCATATATTTTACATTTATTGTAGAACATAGCAATGCAGTTAGCAGAAAGTATATGACCCAAGGATGCAAATGACCCAAAATTCCAATTCAGCTTTAATACCAACTTGTTACATAAACTTAGCTCTCTACACTTCAGTGTCCTCATAAAAACTACTCTGTAGAGTTGTGGTCATAAGAAGAACCATTATGTACTTAAATACAGACATTAGTATTAGCACTTACTCTGAACTACAGAAATATGAAAGGTCCTTGGAAAAATAGAATTTTTGAAAGTGATACAGTTGGGCCATTATATTTTTCTTTCAGTTACGTAGTGTTTATATACACATATATGTGTATCATATATATGTATGAGTCCTATTGTACATTTACATAACATTAGTGACAAAAACAGACAAAAATTTTTATCTCCCATGTATCTTATATTATTACAATGGGTGCAGTTAGATTCTGTTAAGGGCTATGACAAAATTAAGGATGCTAAGTGGACTAAAAAGTTGAAACTAGGATTCAATTGTGAGTATAAATTTCATGGCAGGCCTTACTGTTGACATTACAGTGTTCTTAGAGGCTTTTGTGAACAACCTTGTAGGATGAGAGGGTGGGGAGAAGAGAGACAAGAGCTGTTGATCAAAGCACAACGTGAATATTTTCCTTGGTGTAGCATGAAGGGTTAAATTTTCCAGATGGCCTCACTTTACTTCATTTAATTTGAGAAAATATTTTCCCACGATATGTGGTGTTGTGTACATACCCTGCCTTCCTAAATGTGGCTGCTGGTTACTGTCACCTGATCTGTGACCTCTGGAGCAGGTCACAATCATGGCTCACATTTGTTATCAGACTGTCATTAGCAAGTCCCTATGGGCTTTCTTAATGACTTAAGCTGTAGTAACTGAGAGTCCTACCCCCATGTGGCTGTTTAAATGTAACTATACATCAATTATCATTAAATGACTTTAAGAATTTAGTTTCTCTGTCACAATAGTTGTATTCTGAGTGTTCGATAGCCATGTATGGCTGATGGCTATGGTGTTAACTCTGGGGTAGAACATCTGTGTCACTACAGGAAATTCTCTTAGTGTTTGTTATTTTCAATGTTTCTATCTCTGATTATTATTATTATTCTTTTTTCCCACGGCTGTACTATCAGCTTTAGATATTTATTGTCTTTTGATTTGTTTCAATGCTAGCTGTAGATTTTTATGTAAAGAAAGAATACTTATACAAGTGTTCTTAGCTGTAGAATTTGAGTTCTTATACCTGAAGTTTATATTTATATTCAGACTGCCCTAGAGTATCTTTGCCGAGTTAGTGATTTGCAGATGTGTCCTGGGTGAATGGTATGAGAATGGATTTCTGGGTGACTGTGGAAGGACTATCAAATTTTGTAGGTCAAGTTAGAATTGTATCTTATTTGGGGTAGTAAAAATGAAGGGACATGCACTGACTAATTATGTTCAATACTGACAGGCACTGTTAGTTCCCCCAAAATGAACATGGTCACAAATTCCAAGGGGATCATCTTTGAGTAGTAGAGAGAGTTCCCAAGAGAGTTTAATTTGTCTCTCATACTGCTATACCCAGGGTGCCCTGAAACTCTGGAGGGAGCTTAATGCATACTTAGGCTTTACTAGCTTGGAGTGAGAAGATAGAGCAGAAAGTATAAGGCCGGTTAAGGCAGTGATTTTCAACAGGATCTTTGTGGATAAGCAATTTGTTTTGACAATGAAGTTGGGAGAATGGAGTCCAAAAGACATGATGTACAAGAGTATGAATAAAGACATCATGGACAAAATTAGCAAAGAAAGAGAGTGAGAACATTAAGGCAGTACTAATGTAGTCTAAAATAAAAGCAAACGTGTCTATAGAGGTTGATAGGCTTGGAATGACAGGCTGAAAGGTGAATCTGTGAAGTAGGATTTCAGAAGTAGGATAGGCACAAAGTGGTACTGCTGGGGACAACTCTGACTTCTCAGAAGTTAATGCAGTCAGAACTGGAAACTGTGGAGTTTTGAATGAGCTGAGCTGGAGGCTGAGATGCCAGTAGTGGTGAAAAGTGTTGGGAAGACAGGGCTTGTAAAAGTCTACAATACAGGTAATCAGGACCTGACATGAGAGCATGTAACACGGGGAGACAGGAGACATGGGCTCAATCAGTGTTGATTTTTAAGAAAAAATATCATCAGTGTTTTGAATATTGATTGGATGATGGAATGAAACAGACAAATGAATCAGAGAGGACTCTGCTTTCAGGGAAATATTTTCATTCAAACTCTTCTTCCAAGTCTGCAGTGCTGTACTTTGACATATAGTTGTTACAAATGATTTATATTTGCCTGTGAGCTGTCAAGTTTGCTTTATGATCCTTGAAGTCTTCATTCTGTCCTGTATCAAAGGAATTTTAAGTATACACTGTAGTGAAGAAATGCCCTTCTATTAGTTAAATTTTGAAAATTTGTAAATTTAACTTCATTTCTAGTAGTTTTAATCCAGATACCAATTACTCCTTTGTTTGGACATCATGTTGGATTGATCCAGTGAACCTTTAATTAATGAAGAAAGGCTGAAAGTCATCAGCAAAATTACTGTTCAGTATTAACATTGACATTGGTCAAATTTCAAGGTAACTCTAGGTTTCAGAATCTCAAAATTTGCCTACCTGAATCCACCCTCATATTTCCAATGCATATGTGGAAAACTGATGATTTCCTTCCTTTTGTAATTGTATATTGCTTCTTTTTTTTTACTGTAAATTAAGTTAAAGGGTTTTCCAAATGATAGTTATCATTATAATGGCATCTTTTAAACTTACAAAATAAAATTACTCCTCCCAAAATTACCCAATACCCTAATTTTCCAGTTTGTAATATTAAGAAAATATAACAGATATATGCTTTTTGCTTCAGATTTTGCTAATATATTTGATAATTGCTTGGCAAGATGCATAGAGTAATAGACATCAGGGACTGCGAATGTGGCTCAGCATTTGAGTGTTTGCCTAGCATAGGCAAGGCCTTCAATTCAAATTCCCAGCATATACAAAAATTAATACCAGAATATGTCTTATAGTTAGATTTATGTACTCTCTGTGTGTATGTATGTGGGCATGTATATGTCTGAATATGTGTGTATGAGTATTTGATTATGTGTGTGTGCATGTATATAAATATATATATTGTGTGTATGTGCATTTATGTATGTGCAAATGTGTTTGTATATGTGTGTATGTGTATGAGTATATGTGTGTGTGCATACATATACTCAGTGTGTGTGTATGTATGTATGTGTGTGTGGATTTGTTTGCATGAATTCTTGGAGGACAGAAATCCTTCTTTAATCATAAAGGTGTGGTGATAAGGGAAAGTGGTATGAGGAAGTGGGCACATTAACCAGAACAGAAGGATTTGAGGGCTTCCGTATCTTCTTGTAGTGTTTCTATCGAAAGAAGAAAAGAAAACAAGCTGACTTTTTATTTTTCTCAGGAGAAGACATTGCTTATTGAAAGTTGGATTTATAAAAAAACATTGTTTTCTAAAACGGTTCTTCCCAGGCTGCTACCCTTTGCTGCTACTGAGAGTTGTTTAGTAACATCTGAAAATAGCTTTATGAAGGACTAACTAAATATGTGTTTTATTAACATGACGATTTCTGAAATCAACTTTAAAAATAAATAATGCTTCTAATGAAATACATGATTTCATGAGAAAGGGGTAAAGGTATCTTTCCAAGCAATTTGTGACTTAATTCTAGCTAGTGGAGTGAGTTGAAAAACCTTGATTCATATGTTAGATTATTTTGAGTGTATTGTCTTTGTCTTGGGCAGATGACTAACTCTGTAGTCTTGCTTCCATGGTAACTAGCTTTCAAACTTCAATCTTCTCCACTCAGTTTGCCAGATGTAGCCAATAGAACATGTGTGACCTTTTGTGTGCCAGTTCCTCCTAGCTGATGGGAAAGATAAGTTAACATTTGACTTTTATTTCTAGGCATTACAGCAGAGGTACTGGTAGTAACCTCTTTTGATGAACTCCAGAGAAGAGCGTCAGAGGCAAAAGGGAAGATAGTTGTTTACAACCAGCCTTACACCAGCTATGGGATCACAGTGCAATACCGTACACAGGGAGCTGTGGAAGCTGCCAAGGTGGGGGCTGTGGCATCCCTCATCCGATCGGTAGCATCCTTTTCCATCTACAGGTGAGTTATGTTGTTTAGTTGAGTTATTTTCAAAAATTAGTTTTCTATAAACAAAAACATATTATGAAATAAAAGCAAACCATCCAAATGAAAATACTGATAGCACATGGAACCTCCTTCCATGTTCATATTTGATAATTTGATTGGTATATCTTCTTTTGACTGAGGTTTCTGTCCTTCCTGGTTCCCGCAGTTGTTAAGTCCCAAAAAAACACACAGAAGTCTACATTCATTATAAACTGATTGGTCTAGTATCTCAGGCTTCTTATTAACTCTTATAACTTATATTAGCCCATAATTCTTGTCTGTGTTAGCCACGTGGCTTGGTACCTTTTTCAGTGAGGCAGTCACATCTTGCTCTGGGTCTGGCTTCCTCTCTGTCTGGGTGACAACTGCAAAATGACTCTTTCCTCTTCCCAGAATTCCCCATATTTCATTATCCCATCTCTACTTCCTGCTTGGTCGCCCTGCCTATACTTCCTGCCTGACTACAGGCCAATCAGCATTTATTTAAAATACAAATGACAGGGTACAGACCATTGTCCCACAGCAATCTTCTTTGCTCCTTTAGGAGTCCAAGGATCATTTATGAATTCCTCTGAAAGGTTTCCACAGTGAACATAATCCCATAACGTTCTTTCTACAATTAACATGTTATGCGTTTCATTGGAGGGAGAACTGAGTTCATGTCTGTGTTTCATCCAAGATTACTAATGACTACAGAGGAGGCCAGGCTGTTTTCTATATTGCCACAGAAGTAAAATAAAAACAGAATGCATGACATATTAGGGAATGTCTGTTGTATCATCGAAAGAGCTTGGGTTCTACAGGACCTTTCTGGATAACTGTGTGACTGGTTTATATGTTTATTTACCTTGTAATTTTCCTGTACAGACAAGTAAATGACTATAGGTACATAAAATGATTTTTAAGCCTAATGAAGTAAACTTATGAAAAAGGCTTGTCTATCTGTAGATGTCTATATAAATAAATGTTCTTTGAGGACAATAGAAGGCTGTGTTCTCTGGAACCCTGTTGAAGTAATGGCACAGTATTTATTTTTTGTGTGTTACTTTGGAAATATTTTATGTGTATGAGTGTTTGCTTGTGTGTCTGTATTTTGGGACTGTAATTGTGGATGGTTGTGACCTACATTGTGAGTACTGGGAACCAAACCCTTGTCATTTACAAGAGCAGTAAATGTTCTTAACCAGTAAACTCCTGCTTTAAATTTTTAAGAGATATGTTTCTGACTGTCATTCTCAGGGCTTTGTTATGTGTCCAGTCTGGATTTGAACCCTTAAGCTCAAATAATTCTCCTGAGCCAGTCTCCTGAGTAAGTAAAACTGACAGTATGTACCAACTGTCCCAGGCCAAGGTGCTTCATTGAAACTTAGCCCTAGAAATAAATTCAGTATTGCAGTGGATAAAAGCTCTAAAAACTGACATGTGTCTATTTGCCCTAGTTTAATAGTTGTATATAGTGGTTATATACTGATATAAATAAAATAAAATATTTTAGAAAAGCAGATAAAAGAAGCACCATGTTAATGTAGCCTGATCTGTGTTGTCAAAAAATGCAAAAGTAGTTGGAAATAAAGTTTATTCTGGTCCTGCAACTGAACTTTCTGTTTCTATTATAAAGAAAAACTGTATTCTTCATAACTGCTATTTGGAGCTGGAGACACAGCTGGTTGGCCTTAATTAGTTCTCCTCACCCTCTAAAGTGAAATCAGCAGCTGGGATGTTCAGTCAGAACAGTTGTCTAGAGTGCAAAGTGAAGGATGGACGGGAATAAGAGGCCTTCCCTGGGGAGCAAGATAGCACAGGTTAAGAATCACCCACTAGCATTTCTTGAGTGAAGTCCTAATTCACAAAACTGAAAATAATGGCCTTTGTAAAGTCTTTAACGGTTTTGAGACTGGTCCCTTTTGGATGGTTAATCTTCCCAGGAGAGAAGTTTAAAAACGGCTAGCTTACTTCCCACACTACCTCAGCTACTCCTTGGAATAACACACTCAGCAAGCTGTGGTCATTCACCATGATTTCACTGGTCATGAGGCATAAATTATGGAATGCGTATGAAACTGGAGCATAGCCAGGAAGCTTTATTTTAGAACTACAATCATAAGACTCAAAGATTCCCAGATGATTTAATGTGCAGCCATCCTCCAGGGCTCATTGACCTATTTTTATTTATTTTTTTATTTCTTATTTTTTTTTAATTTTTTTCACCTCAGAATAATAAAGACATCTGGAAACCAAGGCTACATGCTGGAAGTGAGAATTGCCCTGCATGGGCCCTCAGGATGTTAGCCTCTAAAGCTTGGGATCAGCAACTTTTACTGTGTAAAAGCAACATTTTCTGCATGTCTCTAGGTCTGGAGTGATTATAGCTTTTCATGGGCTTTTATAGTCAACATTTCCCTGGTTTCTTAATGCTATAACTCCATTTGGGCAACATAATGGATTAATATTGGCCATGACATACCATATCTCTGAGTACCTTCACACATGTCATGTTGCTTATTGTTACATCAGCCTGAAGGACCATGAAGGTGGTGTATTATTTTTCCCATTTCTAGGTAGGAAAGTAAACATTCAGAAAATTGAATGCATTAGCATATTGAATTCTTTCACCCTGAAAAGTAAAAATCAAGATGAAGCAAAATCTCTTTGTTCCCTTATAGGTTGTTTTAAAAAACCTGGTTTCTGTAAGGCATGTTTTATATTTCTGTGGTTGTTCATCCTTCATTCACCACAGATAATTTAGTGTGTCTTTTATGAGTACTAAGAAGGAACTTGTTAAAGTTACAAATAGCTCCCAATTTATCAAATAGATTTGAGTTTTAAGACTTCTTTTTCAAATATACCTTTCCCTATGTCCCTCTCCCTCAATGTCCTTCCCTCCTCATATGTCCCCTTTTCCTCCATGGCCCTCCCTCCTCCATCCCTTTCTCTCCCTATATTCCTCTCTACTCTCATTTTCTTCCTCCCCATCATCCTTCTCCCTACGTCCCTCCCTCTTCCTATATCCTGTCCCCCATGTCCCTCCCTTCTCCATCCCTTCTTTTCTCCATATTTTTCTGTCCCTCTGTTTTCTCCTTTCCCTTGCCATTCCATCTTTCTGTGTCTCTCCCTCTCCCTATATTCCTCTCTCCTCCATGTTCTGCTTTTCTACTGTCCCTTTCTCTCCCTGTGCCCTTCCCTCTCCTTTCACCCTATTTATTTGATGGTTGACTAAGAATGTTCTTCCTAACCATTCTCCACCAATTCTCTATAAATATTCTGCTATGACCTCAAGGCTCATGTATCCACCTCTATGTTGATTCTTCTCTTGGGTGTTCTAGATTGATGCCAATTTTAGGTTTGCAAAAACCAAACTCTTTGCCTCTTTCTGTTGCATTTTCTCAGTAAAAAAACTTCTGTCCTGCACATCACATAGTCCTTAGCTGTACTTTCTTTTTCTTTGTCCTCATTTCTCATAGTCAACAAATCTCTTAGCTTCTTCCCAGTGTCAAGTCTTTCAGTAGATGCAAATAGAACTGTCCCACTTCCCAGGATCTCTCTAGAACTTTCTATATTTCCAGTTACCTCTGATTGCATCTTTTCTCTGCTTCCTTCAATTCTCTGTCTCTCTGTCACACTCTGTCTTTCATTGTTCAGGCCTTTCTCCTGGGGAACATTCTCTGATTTTCAGTTCTAGTCCTGGTGATGTACCTCTTCCTTGGTATGCACTGTGCCGGAGGCAGTTTTGGTGCAGGCTTTGATAGCAGAGACGACTGCTAACAAACAACTTTATACTCAGTCACTTAGCAGCTACGTTTTTCCAACTGTGGCTCTAAACCTTTTAGATGTGATTCTTCTGCATGGATCTGAACAAAAAGCTGATAGAAAGCTGAAGCCTAGAGGGAGGATTTTTCATGGTTATTCTTACGTATGCCCAGATACAGCATATCACCTCCACTCACATTCTATTGGTCAACATGCTAATACATGGAAGCAGAGAAATCTGTTGTATCTTTATGTCCAAGGAAAACGAATTTGCTCAAAAACTTTTCAGTTTGCCCAATTGCCTGATTATGCACTATGCTCTGAGTTCCGGAAAGACACTGATTTGCACACAGAGAGAAAGGGTCTATTTATAACATCCAGCATAGTATTTGATGAACAGTAGTGCTGTAATGAGGCCTCTTATTTGTTTCCCGACCGCCTGGCAGTTCAGAGCCGAAATAAACAAAGAAACTACATTGTTTAGCCCATTAGCTCTAGGTTCTTATTGGCTAACACTTATATCTTAATTTAACCCATCCCCATTAATCTGTTTATCGCTGTATGGCTATGACTCTGTGACTTACCAGCTAAAGTTCTGGCATCTGTCTCCGGTGGGGCTACAAGGCTTTTCTTGACTCTACCCTTCTTTCTTCCAGCATTCAGTTTAGTTTCCCCACCTAGATAAGCTCTGCCATGCTATATGTCCAAAGTTTCTTTGTTAATAAATGGTAATTACAGCATATAGAGGGGAATTCCACATCACAGTAGAATTCTAGAAATGACTATTGACGAGAACTTGTTAGAGATTGTAGAATAAATCATGACAGGGATGATAACAAATCAGGTGACTCATTCCCTGGTATTCACTGACCATAGTGTATAAATTTGTCATAGTAAGCTTAGAATATCTTGGGGATTTTTGGAACACTCTGTTTTGTATTGGAAAGAAACTATCAAAATGTCCGAATTACAAATATATTTTCTAAAAATAATTATGAGCAATGATGTTTTCAGTTGGTGACTAGAAAAGACAGTTTCTCTCTGGCAAGGTTCCCCTACATCTCCATGAGAGTCGGTGGCACTGAACTCCTTTTAGGAATACGGCAGAAGCTAGCAAAGCTAGACAACAGAATATGCAATGCAGTTTGTTGCTGTTTGCCTTGTAGTTAAGAAGTTCTCACAGGACAGTTTCATCTTTACATCTTTACAGTCTTTAGTGTAACACT